CACATTACTGCTCAAACTCCTGCAGAATTTGGCATCATCCATTTGGTGCTGGTTTTGCAGGCATGAAGAATACAAGAATTACAGGGACATGGAGGCTTCTACCAAGATTTCAAAAGAATTCCTGAGAGGACAGAAAGTATGTGACAGGGATGGTATCCCTGTGGGCAGCCCATGAGACGGGAATGAATGAGGTTTTGACAGTGAAATTAAAACCAAAGTGGACACCCCAGGAAGTTTGAGGTGCCAAGAATGTGGAATGTCTGCTGAGGAAACCTGCAAGAAGTGAATAGAGTCAGCCCAAAAGAGGTCATGTGGGCTGCAACTGGCAAGGTCATAGAGGCAGGAATGCCTAAACCCTATGGAGCTCACGGTGCACCACCATGTTCCCCAGATGCCAGCTTATGGAGCTACCAGATTTAAAGTTTGCTTTCCTGGGTTTCAGTCTTACTTTGATCCAATCCTTCCTTTATATCACTCCCTTCCTCCCTTTAGGATAGGAATGTTTACCTGCCCCTCTATTGTATGTTGGACATAGATAACTTCTTATTTTTAAATTTTTGCAGCTAACAGCTGCTTTGGGTCTCAGAGGAGACTTTGGACTTGAACTTTTAAGAAATGCTGGGACTTCTAAGACTATGTAGATTCTTGAGGATTGACTGAATGCATTGTACATTTTGAGATGTCCATGAGCTTTTGGGGATCAGGGACAAAATAGGATCTGAAGATTTCCCTCCCCTCAGAGGTTCATGTATTGAAGACTTCATACTCGATTCAGCAATGCATCCTTGTTCAGAGGTGGAGCTTTGTGGAAGTAATTAAATCATGGGGACTCTAACCTCATCAATGGATTAGTCTTTTGATAGATTTATAACTTGAATGAGTTACTCAGAGTTGGTGGAAACAGTTGGAACTGGAACCTAGATTGAACAGCATGGGTCCTTGGGAGTGTTCTCTTAAGGACTATATCTTGTCCCCAGCCCCTTCTCCCAACTCCCTTCCCTCTTTTCTCCCTCCTGGCAGCCATGAATTGAGCAGATTTCCTCTGCCATGCCTTTCTACCATGGCCCAGAGCAATTGAACAATACTGTAATCTCTGAAACTGTGAGCCACAATGAATCTTTCTTTCTTTAATTTTTTTTTTCAAAATATTTTGTCACAATGATGAAAAGTTGATTAACAATGCTACTATTTCCCTGGGATGTAAATATGAAGCTGAACTGGATATGGTGGTGCATGCCAGTAATTCCAGAGGCTCAGGTAGCTGAGGCATGAAGATTACAGGTACAAGCCAGCCTCAGCAAATAAGCAGGTACCTAAGCAAATTAGTGAGACCCTGTCTCAATATAAAACACTTCAAAATGGCTTGGGATGTTTCTCTGTGGTTAAATGTCCCTCATACCAATAAAATAAAATAAAATAAAAATAATGTAAGTAGAAACAAAGAAAAAAAAAACATTACTAAGGGACATTTCATAATGTGGTCTATGGTATAATGGAATAACATGCAGCTCTATAAGGAAGGGAATCCTGTACCAGCTACCACATGGATTAAGTTTAAAGATCAACTATACATTTAAAAGTGATTTTTAGATAATAAATTTCATGTGTTTCATGTGTATAGGAACAAATAAATAAAATTGTTATATACTAACATTAAACAAAAATAAAATTAGAAACATAATAAAAATGTTATTGCAATAACCAAAAAACACTTATATATTTATATATTCAAAAAGATATACCCAAGATTTGTATGTAGAAAGATTTAAAAGGTATACAATAAATTTAAAAAGACAAATGGAGATACATATTCCATTCATGGATTAGAAAATCATTAAATTTATGTGAATTTCTATCTAAAGTCTGTCAAAAAGTTTTGTACATATAAACAAGCTTGCTTTAAAATTTATGCAGAAAGAAAATGAAAGAGAAAATCTAAAAGTGGGGAGGAAATAATAACACAGTAGGAGTCAGTGCATGCACTATCAGGACATTTACAACTATGATAATGCAGACCAGCTGGCTTAAGTGAAGGGACTGGCATGTTAGTGGATGGAACAGAACAGAGAACACAGAAACAGACTTACATAGACAGTCAACTGAGTTTTTATAAAGGTGCAAAAATGCAAAAAGAGTTCCGTGGAGAAAAGGCAGCCTAGAGATAGTGATGTATTTAGGCATTTATGAACAAAGAAAATGACTGAACCTTGCCTGAGTTTCACCCCCTATCCAAAATTAACTGAAAATGCATCCTGGGTTTAAGAATAAAATGTAAAACCACAAAACTTTTAAAATATAATTTAAGAGAAAATCTTTGGAATCTAGGGCTGGGCAGAGAACTATTAGATGACACCAAAAGCATGATCTTATTATAAAGGTAAAAATAAATTAGACTGAATCATAATAAAAAAAAAAAAAACTGTTTCTCTAGAAAATTCCATGTAAAGAGGATGGAAAGTCCAGCCCCAGATTTAGAGAAAATATTTGCAAAACAAATATCTGATAAAGTTATATTTAGAGTACATATAAATTTCTCAAAAGTCAACACTAAAAGTATCCAGATAGAAAATTGGCAATAGACATCAACAAAAAATTCAATAGAGATGATATATAAATGTCAAATAATCATGTGAAAAATGTTCAGCAAAACTAGCCATTAAAGAAACAATTTAAAACTATGACACAATATCTCTGTAATCTATTCCAGTCGATAAAATGAAAAATACCAATTACTAAGTGTAAGAGAGGATGCAAAAAATTAGATCTCTCATGCATTGATGGTGACAGTGTCAAGTTCCTTGTTTTGATACTGTACTATTGTTTTACAACAAGTAAATTTGGGGCAGAAATGGATAAATAGTACGTGGGTCACCTCTAGTTTTGAAACTACCTAAAATCTATAATCATGTCAGAGTGAAATTGTTTTTAAAAGCAGTATGCAACTATGTTTCTATAAGAAATAAATTATAAATATAGTCACTGAAAATTTCAAAGAAAAAGAATGGAAAGAGATATAATGGGAAAACACTACTTATAATAAAATTGGTATAACTATATTCATATAAGAAAAAGTAGACCCAAATGCTGGGAGCCATTAGCCAAGTAGGTATGACAATTTCTTTGCCAGCGTATCCCATGTTGCAGTGACATTGAATGTAGGTGACCTTGCTCAAGGACCAAGGCGGATTAGGGTGTTCCGGGTTTAAGATAATCGTGTTTAGGGCGTTCCCAGTTTAGGTTCCAGGTTTAAGGTTTAAGATTATTCCTGCTGGGAATAGGGCGTATCCTGCTGCCTGAGTTCCCCTTGAGTTCTCACAGGATTCAGAGTATTTTTTGAGAGACAGAAGCCCAGTGGAGGTGGATTTGGGCAGAGAACGTGGATTTCCCCAGAACGTGATTGTAGACGGCTGGTGTGAGTTCGGGAATAAAGAGTCGCTGTTTGAATCTACAAGCTGTGTGGTGGCTCGTGATTGTGTGCCCAGCCAGACTGCGGCATTTGTGCCCAGCCAGACTGTGGCACCCAAATACAAAGGTTAGGACAATAATTAAAGAAGGACTTTTCATGATGATAAAATGTAAAGTTTGTGAAGAAAACAAAACCACCATAAATACTCATGCAAATAATGGCAGAGCATCAAAATCCATGAAGCCTGGATGATACAAGCAAAGGGGCAAATAGACAGAGTTGCCATCTTAAGTGGGATTTTTTAATATCCCTGTCTCAGTAATTGATCAAATAAGTAGACAATTTCCTCCTTGATGTCTTCTATAACCCATTGATCATTCAGTAACCTATTGTTCATTCTCCAAGTGATGTATGCTTTTTCCTTCCTTCTTTTATCATTGATTTTCAGTTTCATTCCATTATGATCAGATAAGATGCATGGTATTATCTCTACTCCTTTATATTGTCTAAGAGTTGCCCTGTGACATAATATGTGATCTATTTTTGAGAAGGATCCATGTGCTGCTGAGAAAAAAGTGTAACTGCTTGATGTTGGGTAGTATATTCTATATATGTCAATTAAGTCTAGGTTATTAATTGTGTTATTGAGTTCTATAGTTTCCTTATTCAACTTTTGTTTGGAAGATCTGTCCATTGGTGTGAGAGGTGTGTTGAAGTCTCCCATGATTATTGTATGGTGGTCTATTAGACTCTTGAACTTGAGAAGAGTTTGTTTGATGAACATAGCTGCACCATTGTTAGGGGCATATATATTTATGATTGTTATGTCTTGTTGGTGTATGGTTCCCTTGAGCAGTATGTAGTGTCCCTCTTTATCCCTTTTGATTAACTTGGGCTTGAAATCTATTTTATTTGATATGAGTATGGACACACCTGCTTGTTTCCGAAGTCCATATGAGTGATATGATTTTTCCCAACCTTTCACCTTCAGCCTATGTATGTCTTTTCCTATCAAATGTGTCTCCTCTAGGCAGCATATTGTTGGGTCTTGTTTTGTGATCCATTCTACTAGCCTGTGTCTCTTAATTGGTGAGTTTAAGCCATTAACATTTAGGGTTATTATTGAGATATGGGTTGTTCTTCCAGCCATATTTGTTTATTTATGTTACTAAACATGCTTTGTAAAACACATCTTTTAAATTCCTTCTCCTAAATTTGTCTTCAGCTGCTTGCTCCTGGAATGCCCATTCTGATACCAACTGTTGAATCAATTACCCACACTCTAGGAAAAGAAAAGCTCTCAAGCATTGCCTGAAACATGTAGCTCCCAATTACAAGCCAAGTTACTCATTTTGTTAGTTAATTTCTTCCACAGGATTTGTGCATTTAGAAGGAGGAGCTGGACATTGCTCTGGGAGAGTGGAAGTGAATTCTGGAGGAGAGGGGATTCCACTATCTGATGGGAATTTCTCCTTCCCAATGGCCCAGATCATTTGTGAAGAGCTGGGGTGTGGCAAGGCTGCATCTGTCCTAGGGAACCTCCCATTCAGAGAGCCTAATGAACTGGTCTGGGCTGAAGAGTTCCAATGTGAGGGGCAGGAGCCTGAGCTCTGGTTCTGCCCCAGAGTAGCCTGTCCTAGAGGAGGCTGCCCACACAGAGGGGCTGTGCAAGTTTTCTGCTCAGGTGAGACTCACAGCAGGACGTTAACTGCCATATACATTCTCTGGGGGTAAGAAAAACATGGGATGTTGCTAAAACTGTGTTTTTTACCAGGATATACAGATGTTTGGCTCGTGAAAAATGGCAGCTCTCAGTGTGAGGGTCAAGTGGAGATGAAGACCTCTGGAGGCTGGAGAACACTCTGTGCCTCCAACTGGAATATGGCCAATGCCAATGTAGTTTGCGGTCAGCTGGGCTGTGGAGTCGCCATCTTCACCCCAAAAGGAGCATACTTTGTGGAAGGAGAAGATGAGATCTGGAGAGACCAATTCCACTGCTCAGGGTCTGAGTCCTTCCTGTGGAATTGTCCTGTGACTGCCCTGGGTGTTCCTGCCTGTGCCCATGGAAACACAGCTTCTGTGGTCTGCTCAGGTAAGAGAGGTCAGGGCTGGCTGGTACTTGAGTGGCATGGCTCTAAGAACAGACAGCATGGAGAGCTAAGTTCAAAAATGAGACATTCTGTGGTGAACTATGATTCTTCTCAATAATCATTTCTCTTTTAGGTCCTGTCAAGAGGTTTTAAGAGGTGTAGTTGTAAGTAAGCATTATTATTTATTGCAATTCATAAACAACACTGTATAACAATGAATGAAAACTCTGGGAAGTTTCTCACCCTGGACCATCAGAGAACATTAGCAGCTCACAGAAGTCACCTGCACATATTTCCAGTCACTGTGCCCTCCTGTCCTCTGAAGATGAGCACTCTGACTTCAGCTGCCAAAGAAAATTTTTGTCAGATTTGACCATTATGTAAAATCATACAGTATCTTCTCTTGTTGTATCTACTTTGACTCTACCTTTTGCTTAGAATTTACCCATTTTGCTATTTGTAGCAGAGCTTCCTTTTTTTATTGCTGTTGAGTTTTCTGCTGAATGACCACATGATACATTCAAGTGGTATTGATATTTGATGCTTGTTGACTTCCCAAATAATGATCCTACATATTTTCATGGTAATAGCTTCTGGTGTAGGTATGTATGTATTTGTATCAGATTTTTAACCCTTGTCCTTTTACTTTCACTCTCTTAATGTTGTAATCTTTCAGATGTCAAATGTAGTTCTTAATGAAGCACAGATTGTCAACATTTTTTGTACCCTAAATAAAACTTTGTACCATAACAGCATAAACATATTCTCCCAGGGTATGTTATACATGTTCCTTTTCTTTTGAATATAATTGTACAATCTTTCTGGGGTTGATATTATAAGGGAGTGTATGATGTGAAGAAAACTTACACATTATTGTTTTGGCAGCAAATTGTCTCAGCATCATTACGGAAGATGCTTTTCCCAATCATAAGGTCATCTTTGAAATAAACAGGGTGTAGATATTCTTACTCATTCTGTACTCGGTTCCATTCAATTCTGTTGTTTATCCTTTCAGCAGGTCTTATGTCCTTAATTATTATGACTTTATAGCATGTCTGAGTAAGTTTCCTTTAAAGATTACTTCAGAGTAAATCCTCTGATTGTGTGGTTTTTCTTGCCTAATGCATTAGTCATGCTTGGTCATATGCATTTCACATATATTTTAGAAGCCACTTTATATGTTTCTACAAATAAAAGGATGATGTTATTTAGGTTGATCTTGGATTTGGACTACACATGAATGTGGAGATAATTGACTTACAAAGGATATCTCTAATTTCTCTCAGAGATCATACATAGTCTTTATGATGTTTAATCCTAGGTGTTTTTGTGTTTGATGCTATTAATGTTTATTTTGGTGAAATATTATAGGAATGACTTTAAATTGTTTTCAACTTTATTTTTTATATGTGTGGGGGTGTTTGGCTTTCCTTTTTTTATTTAATTTATTTATTAATGTTAAATTGATAATTCTTAAACAATTTGAAGGATAGTATAAAATTGCCAGATAATCCTAAACCAGATTTCCAAATGCCACTATTTTATTATGTTACCTGCTTCTGATCCATTTATGCCTAAATTTATCAAATCTTTCTTAATGAGTAGTTAAGAATCAGTGGATAATGTAACGTGTACCATTACTCCTAAAGTATTTTCAAGAATTTCATATGTAAACACAGTGCTGTTGCAAATTCCATAAATCCACTTGATGTAACGTGATTATATAGTGTATTAGCCTTGTTCATATTTTTACTAATTTTACTAAGTATGTTATTCACAGTAAAAAAATGTATGGTAATGTGCTGCATTCAGTTCTCATGTTTATTTATGTTTCTTACTATGAAACACTTTTAATTGTTCTTTGTATCCCATCGTAATGAATTTTTTGAAGAATAGAAGCCAATAATTTTATGAAAAGTTCTCATTTTGAGCTATGGCAATAAGCAAAATAAGTAATAAGAAAACTTGTAAATTGATGTTTGAGTCTCTTCTACATAAATGAAAATTGGCTTTGACATTTTTCCAAAGTAGAAATTTAAATTATATATGTTAGAGAAATTAATCACAAAACACACATCTTTCTTAACTTCATGCACAAGAATTTCTATACCAAATTGGACAAATCTAGTGCTACAAATATTACCTACACCCTGTAGCAATCTCCTGTCTATTTTCTGATGGACTCCTTTGGCTTGCACATATGAGAGAGGACATGGGTTCTTGTCTTTCTGTATCTGGCTTATTTAAGACACAATGTCTTCCAGTTCCATCCATTTTGATGCAAATGACAGGATTTCGTTCTTCTTTATGGCTATACATATAGCACTTATACTTTATGAATGTGTCTTTCAGTGAGCAGTTGGGGTGATTCCATAACATAGCTATTCTAAATAGTGCCACAACAAACATGGGAATGTAGGATTACTGAGTTTCATAGTGTAATCTTGGCTGCTATTGCTGCTTAATAAATTTTCTCCCCGAGATATCAATTCAAGTAAAATACATTACATTTTTCTCATGATTTTAAGACTCATGAATTTGGCAAAGGCTTTTGACAGTTGCTTCTTGGGGTCTCTCATGAGGTTGAGCTTGTATATCTTTTGGAACTGAGGTCTTTTGAAGGCTTGGCCAAGATGGGAATCCAGGATATTTCAATCACATGGCTGGTATCTTCATGTTCAACTTAGGCTGCCGACAGAATCACATACAAATGTTCTCTCCCTCATGATAGTCTACAGAATAGATTTCCCACAAAGGAAACATCCTACTAATTCAAGAGGAGGAGGCATGACTTTCTTAGCTAGGTTCCTAACTCAAGCCTTGCTGGCTTCACTACATTCTCTTGCTTATAGAGAACTCACCACTGTCAGCCCAGATTGGAGGGAAGGAGGAATGGACTGCACAAGTCAATGGATAGAGTATCACAGATTTTATGAATATTATTAAACACTACAGGTGTATTGAATGTTCCACTTTATGTATTTTCTAATTTCTACCTAGCATAATCAAACCAAAGTTTAAATATTTTCTTTGAATTGTGGAAGCAATAAGGGGTTTGTTAAGTGGCAGTGAGGGGAAGAAAATAGAAATATAGTAGACAATGAGAGATAGAGGGAAGAGGAGGAATAGGAAAAGGAAAGACAGTGGAATGAATCTGAATGAAAACATCACAGTGAATTCCACCATATGTACATCAATAAGAATGTAACTGCAATAAGATATATTCCATGCTTGTATAATTATACTAAAATGGATTCTTCTGTTACGTATAACTAAAAAGAGGCAAGATTTTTTTTAACAAAAATAGTGGCTTTAACTACCTAAAACTTGTAGACTATTAGGAGTCTCTCACCAGGTCTCTTAGTTCCCTATCGTATTTCCTATCATTTTTTTTTCTGTGTGTCATTCTGCATTTTTCCACGTTCTTCCACTTACTATTTTCATTTTGTGCTAATCTACAGTGTTGTTACTCTTATCTACTGGTTTCTTATTTTTATGTATAATTTTCTGACTTTAAAATTACACATAACTCTCAAATATTTATTGGATATTTTTTATAATTTCTCGGCCAAGATGCACATCCTATGAAACTTTTAGCAAGGTATTTTGGTTCATGCATGCAGTTAATTTAGGGTAGATCACCTTAAGTAAAAGTGATTGAGGTGGTTAGATATTGGGAATCATGTAAAAGAAAAACTCTACTTTCAGTTCACAATATATGATATCAGTTATAAAGATGTTTAAAAAATTCCACCTCTTTGGCCCAAAATAAATTGTACTTGTGCATTCCCAGGGAAGTCAGGCAAGCATGCTGAGATTTCAGAGTTTTTCCTACTACCTTTGGATAAAAAATTCCTATAGGGCAATATAGCTGATTGTAGTTTTTCTTTTCTCTAAACTTGACTTCAAAAATCTTGCTGCCTTGGGAGCTATTCAATGCTCTTAACAGCAACTGATATATTTCAAAGTGTAGGCTTAAAACAAAGAAAATTTTGGCATAATGAAAAGCAGAAGTCTCCATTAAAAAATCAGCTCTGAAGAAAGGAAACTGATGCTTCTTTGTTACAGCTTTCACCTCAGATGTCATCAGTAGATTATTAGGTACTTTAAATCAGTTTCCTGTTCTCTAATCCCTTTTGTAGGAAACCAGACCCAACTGTTGCCCCAGTGCAATGACTCCTGGTCTGACCCAGCAGGCTCTACAGCCTCAGAGGGCCACACTGCCAACTGCTCAGGTGAGCAAAACCCCCAGCACTTGAGCCTTCCCATTCCCTGTGTAAATGCCCACTGACATGACCCTGTCTCTCCTCAGACAGCAGACAGCTCTGCCTGGTGGACGGGGGCAGTAGCTGTGCAGGGAGAGTGGAGATCCTGCAGCAGGGCTCCTGGGGCTCCATCTGTGATGACAGCTGGGACCTGAGTGATGCCCATGTGGTGTGCAGACAGCTGGGCTGTGGAGTAGTCCTGGAGGCCACCATCTCTGCTCACTTTGGAGAGGGATCAGGACCCATCTGGCTGGATGAGGTGAACTGCACAGGAGAGGAGGTCCATGTGTGGCAGTGCCCTTCCCAGGGCTGGGGGCACAACAACTGCAGTCACAAGGAGGATACAGGGGTCATCTGCTCAGGTCTGTGCTGCACACTGTGCATAGGTGGGAGGAGGAAGGGGAGGGTCTGCAGGATGGTGTCTAAGCCCCAAGGCAGCAGTCAGGACAGGGCAGAGGAAAAGAATACTCCTTGTGCTTCCAGCAGAGAAGTTGAGGTGCTTCCATTTTCTGCTACAGCAGCTGAGCTTCTGTTCCTGCCTTCTCAATCTTGTTTTCTGTCATTCTTGACAGTGCCATTTAAAGCAGTCATCACTCTTTTATGACCTACGGGTATGACATTCTGCCACACTGAATTAGTTTTCTATTTCTGCTGTAACAAGGTAGTATAGATTGAGTGACTCAAAACACCACATATATGTCATCTTACAATGTGAAGTTTAGAAGACTGACTTGGGTCTGTCTGGGCTATAAACAAAGTGTCATCAAGCTGCAAGAGCTGAATCTCTCTGAAGACTCTTTTCTTGCCATTTTCATTTTCTAGAAGTTGCCTGAATTCCTTGTCTCATGACCCCTTCCTTCTTCAAACCAACAGCATTGCAAGACACCAAGCAACATGTTTCTCTGATGAGGGCCAGAAATAATTATCTGCTTCTGAGGACACAGGTCTAAGGATATGATTATGTTGCACTCACTTATTAATCCAGGATGATCCAGGATAATCCATGAAAGGATCTATTTTTAATCATGTCTGCAAAGCCCTTTTATAATAAGGTAAAATATTTACAGGCTCCCAGGATCAGTGAGAGGACATATTTGGAGCTCCACTATTCTACCACCCCTCTGTCCGTGTTCCTTTTCTAGGATCTATCAAGTAGTTCCTCAGATAGTAAATAAAGAGTTCAGGTCAATGTTCCTGGTCAGAGTCCCAGGTCAGTGTTCCTGCCTATTGATTTGCTAATGTTACATTGTTGTAGAAACAGAGAGGTACACCTTAGAAAAAAAAGGTTTAAAGAACATAACTTCTAGTCTTCCACCTGGTGGGCACTTTTTTATCAGAGTTATCAATGAATATTCACTTTTACTTAGGAATAAAGAAAAAAACATCAATAAGACTTCAATGTTCACTGAGCCCTGATGTTTCCCTTTCCATTTCAGAGTTTCTGGCCCTCAGGTTGGTGAGCGAGGACCAGGAGTGTGCCGGGTGGCTGGAGGTTTTCTACAACCAGACCTGGGGCAGTGTCTGCCACAATCCCATGGATGCTATGACCTTGTCCATTATTTGCAGACAGATTGGCTGTGGGAACACTGGGACTCTGGATTTCTTGATTCCTTCCAGAGAAGGTGCTAGACCCCACTGGGTAAATGGAATCCACTGTCGGGAAACTGATATCTCTCTCTGGCAGTGTCCTTCTGACCCCTGGAAACACCTGTCTTGCTCTGCAAAGGAGGAAGCTCATATTACATGTACAGGTGACCTACTTGCTCTTTCTATGTGTTTGTCCTATGCCTATAGGTTGTTATTAGAAAAGTTTCACATATTCAAATATAATGGATGAGGTGAAATAAGTCTACAAAATGAATACCGGATAGAGATTACCTGATCCACCTGTCGTAGTCCTGTTTCAAAGGCAGATGTAAGGAAACCATTGATAATAGCAATTTATGTGAAAAGAAACAGAGACTCTGAACTGAAAATATGGGAGCATGAAGTTATACTCTGATGAACATTCTTAGCAATTAGCTCATGCAGTCTTTTTTTAAAAATATTTTTTTAGTTTGATGTGGGCACAATATCTTTATTTTATTTTTATGTGGTGTTGAGGATCGAACCCAGAGCCCCAAGCATACCAGGCGAGCATGCTACCACTTGAGCCACATCCCCAGCCTTCATGCAGTCTTGTTATATTAGTTAATCTGTATTTCCTTAGTGAGAGGGTGAATGATTGGACCTGAGTTATACACGTTGCTTGCTATGTGCTCTCAATTTGTTCCCACAGAAACAATCAACTTTTGGTAGGTACCATGGTGATCATTTATTTCGCATGAGGAAATGATGTTAGGAGTAAACACTTCATCTTCCTCACAATTTCAATTGCGTGAATGGCAACTTGGGGAATCTAATACAGTAGGATGTTTACTCTGAAATCCACCACCAGAAAACGTCTCAGTTAGTTTGTTTATGGTAAGTTAATTAAATGATTTATAGGTAGAAACTTAATTTCAGGCAGCAGGACCAATGCAAGGAGGAAATACCGCTGCAGTTTGCACTCCAGCCTAATGAAACACACCATGCATAAATCTGAGTGTCATGAAGGTAGTGTAGGTGTTGTGGAAATATGTACATTGAGGAAGAGAGAAATCATATTTAAGTTGAAACCTAAAGGAGGAATAGAAGTCCAATGAAGAAAGAAAGCAGAACATTGGGTCAGTGTAAATATTGAGGTAAGAAGAGCATGGTGACCTTGAGGTACTGATAAAATCCCATCATGAGCAAAGAAGGAGGAGGGTAGAAAGAGAGATACATGATTACCTGGATGCATAATAAAATCTAGAGTCCTCCCCAAGGCATGGGTCCCATAAAAATCCTGTTGAAAAGCTGTTAATTTATTTTCTCATATGCACTTTATGGAGAATTGCTGTATAATAAGGGGCCTGGTCTCCCCTTATTTTTCTCTTGAATTGACCTCCTCTCAGGCCATGTTGTCTTGGTTGATACTACTGCCTCTAAGCCTTTATCCATATCCTACTGCAAACGAGTATGCCCATTCATCCCTGTCCCAGAAAACCTTCCATGGGGCCCATTGGAAATTGGAGCCTATCATCTTCTAATATTTTAAGACCTATAATGTCCCATTTAGTTTTATGTTCTGACAAACACCTGGCTGTCCTCTGAGAACAATGATGTCCTTATTATTGGGAGGGCTCTGTGCTTCCCTTTCAATGGGATATTTCTGAGTCAAATCTTAGAATAAGTCCATTCCTGCTTTACTTTGCCATTTTCAATAATTTCTTTTCTTTTTTTTAACCCATGTCCAGCTACTTGAAATTTGCTCCCTGAGGTGGCTGGTGCCACCACTTCTGTTTTTGTCATTCTCCCGACTGATTGCTCCCCCTTATCCAGGAAGGCTGCAGTACAAGTCTCCCCAGGCTCCTCTTTCTCCTGTCCTGTTGCCAGCATAATTGAATACAATTGAGATAACATCCTGGCCTCTCCATCCCTGACTTTCTCCCTTTGAAGCATCCCTCATACCTCCATCTGCTTTATGGCCACACTATTGACCATCACTAACTGTCCAGCTTGAGATATTGATTGCATTGTTCCTTCTCTGACTATTGCTACTTCTCCTTGTGGCAAATATTCCCAGATATTTCATTTCCCAGATATTTCATCCTCATGCACCTTCCAAATGTTTTCCCCTATCAGTTTTTCAGTTTTCCACTCTCTTCGTGAATGCACATGTTTTTCTTACCCTGATTACTCAATATAATGCCCCATTATAATCTTCCCCGCTTCAAGTACACTCAACTCCGTGGTTTCCTCTGTCAGTCAAAGACAAAAATAATATTACCACTTAGTTAATCCCACCAGGGGATTAAGTCACTGATTTGGTTAAGACTCATAACCCAATCATTTCTCTTCTAAAATTTCTTGCATTGTCCCAACAAGAGCTTTCAGGGGACACCTGTCATCCAAACCATATCATCCACCATGGCTTGTGCGGGGCTAGGTCGTGGCTAAAATAAGGTACCATCCTCATTCTAGTGTCTGGTGGTGTAGCTCAGTGGCAAAGCACATTCAACTTGTTCAAGTTTCTTGGCTTGATCAACATCATAACTCAGAAAGAAGAAAGTGAAAAACAGCAGTATCTACCACATAAGCATAAATCAGCTATATAAATACAATATTAATCAATTAAACTCAATAACAACTAAAATAGTAACAATAGATTAGGCAAAGAATAAACAGAATGAGAAAGTAGATTAATAAAAGGAAATTAATTCATTATTAATTATGTTAAGAAAAGATGAGAAAGAAGAGAAAATCCATTTAAAGAATTTAAAAATGCATTAAATACAGAGTAGTAAGGAATATATATATATAAATAAAAATTCATAAAAAATTCCTTCCAGACAAAATACTTGCATGTAGACAACCCTTTCTTGGGCATTTAACATTTGAATCCACCAGGAATGTAGGGCTGGTTGCCTAAAAATGAAACCAATCATAGTTCCTTTGAGTTCCCATCAAAATGAACTAGGATATGGTGTGATATGCTGGCTGCACTGAGCTCCTCATTTCCTGCCATGGAAGTTATGGGAATATTGATGGGGCAGGCCACATTCATGCTGGACAAATTCTATTTGCAAATCTGGGTGCATGGCAAAAGTCAAAGTCACCGCAAGCCCTTTCTTCAGTGGGTTCTGGACCCAACTGGTGGGCACACAATACTGAGATCTTGATTGCATTGTTCTAGCCATGGTGAATCCCTGGAATGCCTGTAAAAACTGGTGTACGCTATCAAACCACTGAGCTCCACTCTGGAGATGGGTCATGGGAATGGGGTTAATCACCAGTTGTGGTCTCTTAGCTCTCAGATATTACTTGCATGTGAAACCACATGAGACTGGAATCACTCCTCCTTACGTAGAGAAAGACCATTTGTCAGTGAGGCCTCTAGGCCCTTCTGTGCCACTAGGTCAGTGTGTTTGTGGAAGTCAGTCTTTCTATCTGAGACTGTAGGTTTTCTTCCTTCACACAATCACTGTGGAGGGTGACCCAGGGACCTGGAATTATGATTAATTCATATTTTATAATCCCAGTATAATTTATCCCCTACAATAGGACCCTTGTCAAGATAACCCCGGGTTATAGTACTCTGAGAGCTTGCTGAGCAATGTGATGGACTCCTTCTCTAAAACTGTCTTGTTGTGCAAGAGGAGTCCCTCTCAGAACATCTCCCCAAACTTGTTCTAAAACTTGTAAGAACCATGTGTTTCTCCCGTGGTTATCCATTACATGGTTACAGCTGGAGTTGAAGTTGTAAATTGCTTTATACTTTTCTCTGGGCTGCCTTAATGATTCTCCATATCATTAACATTTCTCGTCATTTCTTTATTGGTTCCCAGTGTTTTTCCTCTTTCTCAGAATACAGTTTCCTTGTGTTCCCTGACTCTTTTCACTCACATAGTCATAAAAAGTGTACTTCTGTTCTGCTGTTTGACTCCTCATCAAGAACTCCTGGCAGGAAGTCCAAGCAGAGATTAGATATATTTGGAGGAACAAGTAGCATTCCATCATTCCTACTGTCATTTGGGCAATGTCAATATCTGACATCATCTATTCAGGGAGGTTGCCCAATCTACCTAAAGCAAATGCAAATTTAAAATTACATACCCATATTTTAACTATGAAGGCTAGAACCATTAATGAAATATATTGCATTAACTATGCTTTGTCTTATGATCTATTTATTTTTTAGTCTTAATGTATATATATATATATATATATTACATTTTTTTTTTACTGGAATCATGACTGTCACCTGAGGCTTCTGATGATCTCGTCCCATTTCTTATTCCATCTCCTGTGCTCTGACCCTTCCAATCTAAGGCCATGGATCCTCAAGCATATGTCTTTAAGAAGCCAATTCAGATACTGGCCCATTACAGAAACTCTTAGAAATCATTCAGAAAAGACACATTCGGCTACTTACAGTAGGAAATCTGGCATTTCTCAAAGTTTTATCACATAATATGCAGAACTCTATCAATAACAAGTTTTATTCTGATCAAATCTACATAATAACTTCTACTCAGACTACTCACTTGAATACATTGTAGTTAATTCCCTATTTCTTATTTTTTCACAATTAATTCCCATACATGTGATGGTAGAAACTAAGGATGGAACCCAGTGCCTCACATGTGTGAGGCAAGTGCTGCTGCCCTAGTATAATGAATAACTCCATGTCTTACACCACAAGCATTGCATTCTGAAAGTAGATTCTCCAAGTGCTTTGTTGAGAGAAGGTGTACCACATGGCAGTAGAACCCTTCTCATTCTTTGTCAATACGTGACATCATTGACATGATTCTTTCTCCTCAGAGAGCCCACAGCTCCGCCTGGTGGATGGTGGCAGTCGGTGTGCAGGCAGAGTGGAGATCCTTCACCAGCATTCCTGGGGCACTGTCTGTCATAACGACTGGGGCTTCAAAGATGCAGATGTGGTGTGCAGACAAATGGGCTGTGGAATGGCCTTCAATGCCTTGCTCTATGCACAATTTGGAGAGGGATCTGGGCCCATCTGGTTGACAGACCTGGCATGCACAGGAGAGGAGGATTACCTGTGGAAGTGTCCTATCCTGAGCCAGGGAGAGAACAACTGCAGGCACTCTAAAGATGCAGGAGTCATCTGTTCAGGTATGGTCAGTGCATTCTCCACTACCTAAGAGAATGGAAAGTTCCAGGAAGTAGTATCTGATCCCTGGGAGAATAAAGGATGAATTGTCTGCAGAGGAGTAGGATGTCCTTCCCTGAATCAGTGGATTCAGGGATAGCAGTGGATGATGATCTTCATTTATTCCTGTCCTGTAAATCTCTACTATTGTCCTTTCCCTTCTCAACTCTCTTACTTGAAAAGATTTTTCTGTAGAGTATTTCAATTTAAAATCAATCTTCATAATTTTTTTCTCCAGTTTACTATTTTTTAGGATTACATACAAAATTAGCACACATACTCTGTTTGCAGCACTTTTCAAAGGACAGTCAAGAATGAGGCCCTACTTTTCTCAGTTGAATTCAGTGTTTGTATATGTATAGTCAGAAGTATTTTTGCACTGGGTTGGTACGTGTATGGGCACAGGGATGGGATTAAACACATCACAGAGGAGTTTATGGATTTCGGGAAAGTTGCAATTCTGCTTTCCAGATTTAGACATCAGAATTATCAGTTCATTGGCAGGAAGGGCCAGAGAACAGTGAGTGAAATGCCCTGATTCATAATTTCTCCTTTCTCTACTACAGTAGAATCTCTCTGCATTTCTTTTTTTTAAGCAACTTCTGTATAACTCATCTTGGGAGGTGAATTAAACACTGTGCTCCCAGATCAACGTAGGAAGCAATAAAATATTAATGTATATTTATTATGGTAAGACATTGTGTAGTTTAGGACTCAAGATCAAGGTGTTTATTCAGTGATCTACCACAAATGCACCACATAAACACACACAAAATGGCTTGATATGAGAAAATAATCAAGCTGTTTTAAAATAAAAGGTCCCAGGTAAAAGCCTGCTTTTTTAAAAATATTTGTTTTAGATTCAGCCATAGAACAGGTAATTTCAGGCTGCCATTTGCCTGCGGCTTGCAGACAGATTGCTAGGGTTCAGTGCCTGGGTGCTTCTTAGAACCTGATCGTATCGGAGCGAACACCGAGCGCGGGGCGTCCGAGTTCTGGCTCCCGGAACCGCCCTGGCCCAGGGCTGGAGAGCCTGCGGAGGCTGCTTCTTGGATCCTGCTCCTATCAGAGCATACACCAAGCACTAAGCGGCCGAATTCCGGCTCCCGGAACTGAGCCCGCGGGGACTGCTTCTTGGAGCCTACTCTTATCGGAGCTTACACCGAGCACGGAGCAGCTGAGTTCCGGCTCCCGGAACTGCCCTGGCCCAGGGCTAGGAGCCCACGGAAACTGCTTCTCGGTCTGGGTCCTGCTGAGGGCCGGTCAGGACTCACCAGTTGCTTTGGTTGCCCGGCAAGGGGAACGAAATGCTGCCATTCGCATAGGATACCAACATGGCAGAGATCTGATGTCATCAGAAAGCGGCGGAGGAGAGAACTTCATCAATACCAGCGGCGACAGAAACAGTTGGTCTCCTGGTAGGGGGGGTGAGGCACAGACACCCGAGTCTCCTCAATTTGTCGTCGAGCCAGAGGGGAGGAGCTGGGCCGCCCCCAGCGCCCGGAGCAGGCCCAGCGGCTCGCCAGCGTGGTGACCGCGTGACCCCAATTGGAGAGGGGGCAGAGCGGAGCCGCCACCCGCACCCGCAAGGTGGGCAGACCCGCGACCCAGTGGTACACGGGCGTGGTAGGAGGGGCAGGGCAGAGCCTCCGCCCGCGCTTGCAAGGTAAACAGACCTGTGACAGACTGGCGGGTCAGGCCCAGTGGCCTGCCAGTGTGGTACACACATCACCCCAACTGGAGTAGGGGCAGAGCAGATCCTTCTCCCACGCCCGGATCAGGCCCTGCTGGTGTGGTGGCCACGTGACCCCAATTGGAGTGGGGGCAGAGCGGAACCGCCACCCATGCTCGCAGGGTGAGCAGACCTGTGACAAACCTGCAGATCAGGCCCAGGGGTCCACAAGGCGTGGTAGGAGGGGCAGGGCAGATCCGCCGCCCGCGCCTCCAAGGTAGGCAGACCTGTGACAGACCGGCGGATCAGGCCCAGGAGCCTGCCGGCGTGGTACACACACCACCCTAATTGGAGTAGGGGCAGAACAGAGTTGCCACCTGTGCCAGGAACAGGCCCAGCGACCTGCAGGCGGGGTAGTCACAACACCCCAATTGGAGTAGGGGCAGAGCAGAGCCGCCACCCGTGCCCGAAAGGTGGGCAGATCTGCGACCGACCAGCGGGACAGGCCCAGTGGCCTGCCGGTACGACAGACATGTCACCCCATTTGGAGTAGGGGCAGAGTAGAGCCGCCGCCCGCGCCTGCAGGGTAGGCAAACCTGCAACCGAACGGCGGATCAGGCCCGGTGGCCTGCCGGCGTGGTACACTCGTCACCCCAATTGGAGTAGGGGCAGAACAGAGCCGCCGCCAGCGTCCAGAACAGGCCCAGTGACCTGCCGGCGTGGTAGCCACGACACCCCAATTGGAATAAGGAGAGAGCAGAGCCGCCGCCCGCGCTTGCAGGAAAGATACGCAAGCAGTATGAAAAGACAAGGAAAGAAAGGACCACAAACAATGCAGGTCAACGCAACTTTAGAAGAGGTAACAGCTGCAGCAGATGGAATGTCAGATAAAGAATTCAGGATATACATGCTTCAGATGATCTGGAGTATCAAGGAAGACATTAAACAGCAAAATCAGACAATGAAAGATCACTTCGACAATGAATTACGCAAACAAATCCAGGAAGCAAAGGATCAACTATACAGGGAGATAGAGGTTATAAAAAACAAACAAACAGAAATCCTAGAAATGCAGGAAGCAATAAACCAACTTAAAAACTCAATGGAGAATACTACCAGCAGAGTAGAACACTTAGAAGATAGAACATCAGACAATGAAGACAAAGTATTTCAACTGGAAAAGAACATAGACAGCTCAGCAAGACTGTTAAGAAACCATGAGCAGAACATCCAAGAAATATGGGATAACATTAAGAGACCAAACTTAAGAGTCATTGGGATACAGGAAGGTACAGAGCTCCAAACCAAAGGAATGAGCAGTCTATTCAATGAAATAATATGAGAAAACTTCCCAGACTTGAAGAATGAGACAGAATCCCAAATCCTAGAAGCCTACAGGACGCCGAATGTGCAAAATCATAAGAGATCCACACCTAGACACATTATAATGAAGATGCCCAACATACAGAATAAGGAGAGAATTTTAAAAGCTACAAGAGAAAGGAAGCAGATTACATTTAGGGGTAAGCCAATCAGGATAACAGCTGATCTTTCAACACAGACTCTGAAAGCTAGAAGATCCTGGAATAACATATTTCAAACACTGAAAGAAAATGGGTTCCAACCAAGAATTGTGTATCCAGCAAAATTAAGCTTCAGGATGGAAGATAAAATTAAAACCTTCCACGATAAACAAAAGTTTAAAGAATTCGCAGCTAGAAAACCATCTCTTCAAAACATCCTCAGCAAAACATTACAGGAAGAGGAAATGGAAAATAACAATGAAATCCAACAGTGGGAGGTAGGACAGTAAAGGGGGGGGGAAATAATCAAAGAGGAAAACAAACCATGTTTAGTAACAGAAATAAACAAATATGGCTGGAAGAACAACCCATATCTCAATAATAACCCTAAATGTTAATGGCTTAAACTCACCAATTAAGAGACACAGGCTAGTAGAATGGATCACAAAACAAGACCCAACAATATGCTGCCTAGAGGAGACGCATTTGATAGGAAAAGACATACATAGGCTGAAGGTGAAAGGTTGGGAAAAATCATATCACTCATATGGACTTCGGAAACAAGCAGGCGTGTCCATACTCATATCAAATAAAATAGATTTCAAGCCCAAGTTAATCAAAAGGGATAAAGAGGGACACTACATACTGCTTAAGGGAACCATACACCAACAAGACATAACAATCATAAATATTTATGCCCCAAACAATGGTGCAGCTATGTTCATCAAACAAACTCTTCTCAAGTTCAAGAGTCTAATAGACCACCATACCATAATCATGGGAGACTTCAACACACCTCTCTCGCCAATGGACAGATCTTCCAAACAAAAGTTGAATAAGGAAACTATAGAACTCAATAACACAATTAATAACCTAGACTTAATTGACATATATAGAGTATACCACCCAACATCAAGCAGTTACACTTTTTTCTCAGCAGCACATGGATCCTTCTCAAAAATAGATCACATATTATGTCACAGGGCAACTCTTAGACAATATAAAGGAGTAGAGATAATACCATGCATCTTATCTGATCATAATGGAATGAAACTGAAAATCAATGATAAAAGAAGGAAGGAAAAAGCATACATCACTTGGAGAATGAACAATAGGTTACTGAATGATCAATGGGTTATAGAAGACATCAAGGAGGAAATTAAAAAATTCTTAGAGACAAATGAAAACACAGACACAACATATCGGAATCTATGGGACACATTGAAAGCAGTCCTAAGAGGAAAATTCATTGCTTGGAGTTCATTCCTTAAAAAAAGAAAAAACCAAAAAATAAATGATCTCATACTTCATCTCAAAATCCTTGAAAAAGAAGAGCAAAACAACAGCAAAAGAAGTAGAAGGCAAGAAATAATTAAAATCAGAGCTGAAATTAATGAAATCGAAACAAAAGAAACAATTGAAAAAATTGACAAAACTAAAAGTTGGTTCTTTGAAAAAATAAACAAAATCGATAGACCCTTAGCGATGCTAGCGAAGAGAAGAAGAGAGAGAACTCAAATTACTACCATACGGGATGAAAAAGGCAATATCACAACAGACACTTCAGAAATACAGAAGATAATCAAAAACTATTTTGAATCCTTATACTCCAATAAATTAGAAGATAGTGAAGGCATAGATAAATTTCTTAAGTCATATGATCTGCCCAGATTGAGTCAGGTGGATATAGACAACCTAAACAGACCAATATCAATTGAGGAAATAGAAGAAACCATCAAAAGACTACCAACTAAGAAAAGCCCAGGAC